AGCAAGCTCACTTTTAACTATTGGTATGCTCGTCAAGTGGAAAAGACTGGTCTGGACAGCACAGTCCTCTGTTTAGTAAATATGCTCCTCAATGCGCCATGGTTTGGTAACGTAATCGTTCCTCGCACAACATTGATTGAGTGCCAATTGGTGGCCGTTTTATCTGGAAATCGCGCTCACGAACGCCAGACATGAACGCCTCGACGATTGTGTTTTTTGACCTTGATCGCCGCGCGGGTTATGAATTGAAACCCTCTCCCTGAAATGCCTTTCCCATTTTCACGGTGCGTGTAGCTCGGAAACTGGAGGGGCTAAGTCTTAATAAGGCAGGATTGTGAACAGCACCGGGAGGTCGTCAAGATGGCTATTTCCGTTCAAATGTAGGATACTCCCTTCAACATTTACCCGCATTTGCTCCAGTTCCGTAGTCCATGCGCCCAAGAACCCCAAATCATCATCATAATCATCATTATCGAGTCACTGAAGGAGGAGACCAGTGCCAGCTGTGATCCGTTTATGGAGCCATCACTCGCGATGCAGCCACCGCCCCTGTCGATGACGGTCCTGCAGCGCCTTGTCATCAATTCTAGCTTGAATTTGCTCCTATTGTCCGTACAAGTTATGCTGTGGCGTCCCTCAGGGCCGTGGTGATAGGCTATTCTGCAACCCATTTCTGTGAATGGAAATCTGGGGTCAATCCGGACATTGGCCTTGTGGTCAGCCTGCACCATCGCCTGAGGCCATTCACCGAGCCACGTGAACCGCCAGTGAGTGTCTGCCGTAACGTTCCGACGCGGGTCATAAGCTGTCACGAAAGCTCCGTTCGCTAGGGCGATCGCAGCCGACGGCGGCGCATCAACAAGTGATTGCCAACATAACGAAGACAAATCCGGCGATGTAGCTGAAGTTCCCGGTCATTGTTTACGCAAATCGAAGGTACAGATAGGCGCCCAGAGACAGCCGAGGGCTGGCGTTTGTATTCTCTTCTTCGGCTGCGCTGAACGGGCGAAATGGCTAATTTTCGTGGAACCATCAACGCAGTCGTGTGGTTTGACCACGAGGGAGGCATGGCAGAAGGTGCCTTCTGCTATTCTAGTGGATTGGTGCAACAAAGACGTGCATGGTCCACATTTTCCAACCGGACTACGTTACAGTGAGCAATAACCTAGAAGTCATTCAGACACTGGTTATGTCCAGCCCACCTTGAATTGTTGCAGGAAGCTCATCATTAATTGATTCCAAACTAAAAAAGGACCTAGATTGAACTGGCATAGAGTAGGCCCATACATTTAAAATCGCAAGATACATATGGTGATGATTGACTGTTTTGGAGCGTGCAGACGGTCTTGGTTATTTGGAGCCCATCAGCGCATACGCACTGGTGGCGAGGCGCGCCGAACCGTTGCTTCGAGAGCTTTGATGGTGTACCCCAAGCCCAGCTTTCTAAGCTGAAATGTCAAGCCAGATTTCCTAACTGAACGTCTAAACGGTCCAAGCCAGAGTAGCGGCTGAGCTGAACTGCGCCTGCGCAGATCATCTGCTGACCCCTCTCGCCGGAGCGTCGCCAGTGGGCCGCCACAGGCAGCCGGCGAGGAACCACTGGGTGGATGGCTATGGTCACATGGCTGGGGGCCCCGTCCACACCGTCCTTAGCGCGGCGATCGCAGCCGTTGTGGCGGCGCCTTATCGCTTGTTGGGACGCGGCGGCGCTGGTGCCAGCCGACGGGCGACGCGTGCAGGTTCGGCGGATAGTGACCGTGACCGGGGCGGAGGTGACCATGACCGAGGTGAAGGTGACCATGACCGTAGTGGAGGTGACCATGACCGGAGCGGAGGTGACCGTGACCGGAGTGGAGGTGACCGTGACCGGAGTGGGGGTGACCGTGACCAGGGTGGAGGTGACCGTGACCAGGGTGGAGGTGACCGTGACCGGAGTAGAGGTGACCGTGACCGGAGTGGGGAGACCGTGACCGGAGTGGAGGTGACCGTGACCGGAGTGGAGGTGGACCCGTGAGCGGAGGTGACCGTGACCTTAGCGGAGTTCGTGACCCTGGCCGCCGGATCCGTCGACCCGGGGGGGGGGGGGGGGGGCGGTGGGCCTCTTGGCCTGCATCGCTCGCCACGGGCGAGGGCAGGACTGGCGCGTGGCGCCCGCCTGGAGACGAGACGCGGCGCGCCGGGCCGCCGGCGGCTTGGAGGTGTCCCGTCCGCGCCGCTGCTCTGAGTCATCAGCTGGGGGCCCTGTCTCGTGGCCAGCGGCCGATGTCGACCCCACGGCGACCCGGGCCTGGCCGAAGCGCGCCGGCCCGCCGCCACTCTGACTGTTGACGCGTTGTCGTGGTGATGATGTGCGCCACGATAGGACTGGCGGCAATCTGCCGACACGCACGGCCAGCGGCGGTATTGCGCCATGGGGATGCGGCGCCGGCCGGCGCGGGGAACCACGGAAAACGGAGGGTTGCCCCGGGCAAACGAGGCTGCCGCTGTTATTTCACAATAGTGGGGAGGGCCCGCTCGTCACTCCCCCCCCCCCCCCCGCCCATCCACACCGCGTCCGCCACTGTGCACGGTATTGATTTGGTGTCTCGCAGCTGGTCACACTGGCGGTAGTCATGAGCGCGAATGCTTCCACACAGCTGTCCTTTCCCACCCAGGTAGTACAGACGCACAAAAAAAACAACGCTAAAACCCGCTCACAGCCTGCCCATTAAAGCGGGTGATATCAATTAACATAACGCGGTAACGACTATTGCTGCTGGGTTGCCACGGTCGACGCCCGCTGGCGTTCGCGTGACTCGCTGAGGCTTCAGTCGATGCTTCAAGCTTACGGCAAGATTGAAGTCGGGACGGGCGAGGATTTCCGCCCGTAGAACTGAGCTGTAAAACCGTTCGCCCCCTTGCCTCCGCTGGGCCATCAACATGTCTTTCGGCGTGCCGCTGCCCCGCGTCGCTGCGGTCCGTGTTGTCGGTTGTCTGTAACAGCTGTGATTACTTGTAGCTGCTTGCCGCGTCAGATCGATGAGGCGCCCGGCTGTGTTGATCCTGAACTGGCGTGACGTTAAACATTGGACGGCTGGCGACGGCTGGACGTATGTGAGGTTGCCATGGCGCCCGCCCGATTACGACCACGCGTCAGCCACGGGCTTCGCGTCGCTCTGACATGATGACTGGCCCTGGTGACTCCGCCGGAAAGCGGCGCTTGCCGGCGTGCCGGTCCGTCGCCCGGTGTTGGTTAGCACGTGCCAGCGAGCTCTGCGCCGCCGAACGGGCCCGAGTCGGAGACGGCGACGGCCGGCCGTCGGGCGGCAGGCAGTGGTGCGCCGCCGTGTCGATCAAAACCTCTTCACTTTTTCTGGATTTCATGCGAGATGACATGGATTACGATGGATGTGATATTGTGTTATTATGGATGTGGGCTCGTAAGGATTCGCTCCTTGCAGTGAAGTGCACGTGCTTCCTTCACATAACGTGTGTCTGCTGCGCGAATCCCGAAGCAAACCCAAGAACTACGTCGCATTTCAAATAACCAGTGTTTCGACCACCATCGGCCGTTCCTGCACGAACCTGGAAGTGTCGGCTGTATGCACCAACACGCGCGGATGTCCCCGCCACCACCAGCAGGGCCGCGTTGTCGAGCCGCTGCTCTGAGGATCAACTGAGCCGGCACGCGTGCACGGCCCGACGGCGGCGTTGCCTGTTGTCGGTGGGCACCGGGCGCCACCGGGGCCGCAGTGCCTGCTCTGCGCACCACCGGGCGCCGCCGGGCCGCGGTCGCCAGCTCTGCACCGGACGCCACCCGGACCGCGGTCGCCAGCTCTGCACCGGACGCCGCTTGGGCCGCGGTCGCCAGCTCTGCACTGTGCGCCGCCGGGCCGCGTCGGTCGCCAGCTCTGCACCGGACGCCACTGGAACCGCGGTCGCCAGCTCTGCACCGGGACGCGCTGGGCCCGCGGTCGCCAGCTCACCCCGCGCCGCCGATCCCACCCGAGATATCGCGCGGCCGGCCGCCGGCCCCGGCTTCCGGAATGTGCCGCCGGCGGCGCCGCTGGCTGGCGGCGCTACTGTGTCGCTTCGGCTTCGTGTGGGCGCTGCTGCCACCGGCTTACGTGTGGCGAGATGTGGTGAGGTCACCGTGGGGTAGGTAGGGTGCGGAGATCACCTGGTTAGTGAACGGAGACCGCCTCGTCAGGGAGCGGAGACTGCCTCGTGAGGGAGCGGAGACCTCTCGTGAGGGAGCGGAGACCTCTCGTGAGGGAGCGGAGACTGCCTCGTGAGGGAGCGGAGATCGCCTCGTGAGGGAGCGGAGACTGCCTCGTGAGGGAGCGGAGACCGCCTCGTGAGGGAGCGGAGATCGCCTCGTGAGGGGGCGGAGACCGCCTCGTGAGGGAGCGGAGACTGCCTCGTGAGGAAGCGGAGACCGCCTCGTGAGGGAGCGGAGACCTCTCGTGAGGGAGCGGAGACTGCCTCGTGAGGGAGCGGAGACCTCTCGTGAGGGAGCGGAGCCTGCCTCGTGAGGGAGCGGAGACCCCTCGTGAGGGAGCGGAGACTGCCTCGTGAGGGAGCGGAGACCGCCTCGTGAGGGAGCGGAGACTGCCTGGTGAGGGAGCGGGGCATCAGCGCAGTTCTCGGCCTCGGCCCGGAGGAGCGCAGCCGGGCTGCCCAGTCGCCGACAGCGACAGGACCGGGGTCGCTCCCAGGAGCACTGGCCGTGCGGCGGCGTGCCCTGGTCAGTCGCGCCGGGCTGCCGTCCAAGCTCGTCGGTTTGCGGAAGGCGGGTGCCGGCGTGCGGCGTACACAGTCACGCCGCACGCCGCGCGTCGGTGGGCTGACCCGACGCCGCGGGCGGGACGTCCGTCGCGGCCGCCAGCCTGCCACCCGCCGTCGACTAGAGGCGGGCCGAGGCGATGTCGTGTCAGGCGGCTGCGGCGCCGCGGCCGCCGACCCCGCCCGGGGTCACGCGGTGCGGTGAGTCGCCAGCCGACGGCCGCCGACCGGCTGTCTGCGGCTCTGACCGCACCGCTGACCCGCGCGGTTGCCGTGTGGCGCCTGCTCTCCCCGGCAGGGTGCGCTGCCCGCGCGCGCAGTCCAGCACCCGCGATCCCAGCGTGCGAGCTCGCGTTGCCTTTCCCCTTGCCGACGAGGCCGGGCTCCGTTGCGCTCCTGTGTTGTCGGACCGGCTTCCGTTGACTGTCGTGACGTCACGTACCTGTGCCGGCCTCCGGTGAAATGACGTCGACCGTGTGGTCTGGCTCCGCCGACTCCCGCTCCCCCTCTTCCCCTGCGTGTCCCGGCTTCTGGTGAGATGCCGCTTGCGTGGTATGTTCGGCTCGCGCGGCCGTCGGTCGGCGGCCGGCCGTTTCCCGGTGTGCGGTGGGCCGGCCCGAGTCATGCCCGAGTCCGGCAGCGCCGCCGCGGTCGATAAAGCCGGCCGTCACCGGCGGATGTGGCCGGCGGCGGCGGCCAATCACAGCCACCGGCCCGGCCCCGCCGCCCGCACCCGCCGGCGTGTGGCAGGAGCACCCCGCCGACAGTGTCCCCGATGGTGTCGGGGGAAGGCCCGCGCGGAATACACGAGGAAAAACACACAGATTACAGTCCCTGGCCATGGGCGGAGAAGGCTCGGAGAAGTCAGCACGGCGGGCAAGCCTTCCGCGAAGCACAATTACCTGTGTGTGTGCTGGGGAAAGCTGGCACAACCGTGGTCACACCCGCCGCACTGCATTCTGCACCGGCTGCCGGGCGGAGCTGGTGCCTCGCTGACGCGTGTCGCTGCCCGCTGGCTTTCTAGATTTCTTCCGTTCTGCAGTGGTGGATAGTTCTTACTCGTTTGGACGCTCAGGATGCTTAAAAACAGTGGCTTGTTCGGGGCGTGGTCTGTCGTCCTCTTCAGTAGTGCACGATATGCGAGAGCACATCCTCCATGAAATGTGTTTTCCTGCGGGAGCTGCTGACTTATAGGCAGGCTTATGTGCGGCGCCAATCGGAATCGAAATCGGTATGAATTAAGTTTTCGTTGGATTAAGATGGAGTTAATCCCTTTGAGAGGGCGTGCGTGGCGGAGCCATTGCTGAGTGAACCACATAGGTTAGAATCGGGAACGAGTCAAATTAACTAAAGAAGAAACGTGGGTAACAAAGGATGTTATCGTTTTGGCAGCCTCCATATGCGCATCAAATTAAACAGTTCAACCACTTTTGTATTTTTCAATATGCGGTCTGTACACACTTTTGTATAACCCTAATATGGCGAACGCAGTCGCAAACACTCCGTAAAAGGGGCGTGATGACGTGCGTCGCGGCCCTTGTAAAAGGAAAGAAGAACAGCGTATTTCGTAGATTTTTGTTGCTGGAATAGACTCCGTCGGAATCAGTTCGGCAATCAAGCGATAGCCCTTGACTTTGATTTGGAGTCGGCTCGGAATCGCGGTGTACTGCTTGAAGTCGCGGTCGGAATCAACTTCAGACGCGGAGTCACAGTCGGAATATATTCTGATGGAGCGGAATCAATCATAGGTCCGCTCACGGGCGGCCTCTTTGTAGGTACCGCTGCTGGGACGGAGCCACGAATCCATAACGTTGCAACAACGAAAGCAGCAAGCAATGCCATTGTGCCATCAGCTTCCAAATGACAATGTGGGCATGCAACCAAGTGCCATCATAGCAGCACGTCTGCGTCTGACCTGTCTGCTTCTCGTGTGTTCGTGCTCCGTGCCTCGCCTCGCTTCGTCCACCCCGCCCGTTGGCATGCGGGCGCGCGGTGCGGTGGACTGGATGAGCCGCGTCCAGTGGCGCGGGCGGGAGGAGGCACAGGGGGCGCACGCCCCCTCCCCACACACGCACTTAGGTCCCGATTTGAGGCCCAAAGACCCCGGAGGACTGGCCAGAGGTATTATGGGTCCTGGTCTCACGGGCCAAGCCCT